TGACATCCTCATCCTCATCGTCATCATAATCATAGTTGTAATCATCATCATCATCGTCATCGTCATCATCATTATTTTCATCACCATCATCATCATCATCGCTACTGCCAATACGATTATTATTATTATTATTAGTTGTAGTAGTAGTTGTAGTTGTAGTAGTAATAGTAATAACGTCGTCATTCAAGATTTCATCATCGTCATCATCATCATTGTCATCATCATCAAAGTCATTATAATCGTCATCATCATCGTCGCCAACGTCATCATCATCATTCACGTTATAATCATTTGAAGGAATGAATAATTGTGGGACGTGGCTGTGAGAAGCTAGTAACGATTCGAGGGAGTGAAATTTTGTCGCCACTGTCGCTAGCGGTGATGATGACGATGTCGATGTTGCTGCTAGTGGTGGTAGTGATGATAGTGTTGTAGTTAGCGGTAGTGATGATGATGTAGGTGGTGATGATGATGTTGTCCTTTTCAGTTTTGATAGTTTTGTTGTTACGGCAACATTTTTCGGTCTCGATGATTTCGCTAAGGAATTGAAACTACTGAAAATTATTGAGGTTGATGAAGTTGCTGATGCTGCTTTTGCTGCTAGTGAAGTAGTCGTTGGTAGGGTTGGTGCAGTAATTGTTGCTAGTAGAGCAGCTGTTGCGTTGTTGCCGTTGAGTTTTGTTGATGTTGTTGTTGTTGTTGCTGCTACTTTAGTTGTCAACATGGTCTTTTCAGATGAATTTGTCGGACTTACAACTGCAAATTCTTCTGAACCGAAGTTTAGTACATTTGGAAAGGATGAAAATAATAATTGAGTGCTTGTCAGACGAGGAACTCTATATTTTGTTCGTGTTGTCGTTGATGTTGATGCTATTAATGTTGTCGTTGGTGTTGATGCTATTAATGTTGTCGTTGGTGTTGATGCTATTAATGTTGTCGTTGGTGTTGACGTTGTTAAAGTTTTAGTGGATGAAATTGTGCTTGTTTTGCCTGGCAATGTTAATGTTATCTTCGGTGTTGAGAACATTTTTTCAGACGTTGTGTCATCTGTGTGGAAGGTAACATCCTCAAAATGATCATCGTTGTCGTCGTCGTCGTTGTTGTTGTTGCCATNTGCAACATCAACAACATCAACACTGCTAGTCTTATATGACAACAACAATTGATGCTTTGGTGGTGATTTTTGTTGCTGTTTTGTGTGTGGTTCCTTGTTTGAAGTTTGTTGTTGTTGTTGTTGATGTGATAGAAACTGTTGTTGTATTTGCTGTGGAATGACATTAGCGAAGGATTGGTAGGTCAGACTACAACCGTACTGCTCTGCGTAACTCTGTGAGCGCATGCGGGCGTTCACGGATTTGCATTGACAGGATAAAATAATTTTGAAAGGTCCTCTGAAGTCTCGGTTGAACATGGCGTATATGATTGGGTTAGTTAGGCTATTCAGGTAGCCCAACCATAAAAACGTGCTACTCAACCAGTCAGCGATGCATGATGGTGATGATGAGAATGGTGATGATGAGGATGGTGATGATGAGGATGGTGATGATGAGAATGAAGATGAAGATGGTGTTGAGTAGGAGGTTGTCAAAGTGAGAAATGATGCTGACGACGTTGTTATTTTTGAAAAATTTGTATTCAATAAAAGGTTAAAGATGGTAGATGTTGTATTAGCAATAGTTGTTAATGTCGTTGCTCCGTTCACGTAGTCGTCACCATCGCCGCCATCGTTGCCGCTGTCGTTGTGGACACTAAAAAATGAAGTAATCAAACTTTTTAAAAACGCTGAGACGTTCCTGTAGTAATTAACGTCGTTGTCGTAAGGATAACTTGCGTTATTGATGTAGTTGTTGGCGGTGTCGTTGCTGGGAAAATAGCTACCACTGTTGTAATAACTGTCATTAATGTTGTTTGTGTAGTTTCTACTGCTACTGCCTCTACTACTGCTGCTACTGCTGCTGCTTTTACTACTGCTGCTGCTGTGAGGAACGCGATCTTCGTGGAAGTAGATACAAATTGGACGAATGATGGCGAGAAGAAAGAAAGGCAACCAGCATACAATGAAGGAACCCAATATGATGCCGAGTGTTTTTGTCGCTTTGTTGTCGCGAGTAGTTACGATTTTGTGGCTGTTGTGGTAGGCGCGCTTGTTGTGCGGCTGGATGTTGTTGCAGCTGCTGTAATAGTAGTTGTAGTTGTTGTTACTGCTCGATTCGCTAGATTTCGATGATCGTTGTTTTGTTGTTGGCATTGTTGTTGATGTGTTGTTGTTGTTATTACTATTATTGTTGTTGTTGTTGTTGGCAAGCAAAAATCTGGCAAGCGCAATATTTTCTACATACTCATTCTGCAGTGATCTGTTTACGGATACATGACTTTTATTAGCGAGAGAGCTATAATTACAATTGTTTATGCTGTCCTTTCTGTTGCTGTTGTTGTTGTTGTGACTGTTGTGGTTGTTGTTGTGCAGCCTGCGATGGATGAATGATGTGAAGGAAGATGGACTCGATTGGGCCGAGGGCGCCATTTTGTTCTTATCGATATTTTTGATCTTTTGCTGCAGTGTCACGTCATCCAGAGTGTAACGCTTTGTGAGCGTGTTGTTGTTGTTGTTTGTTTTATTTTTGTTGTTGCAGCTGTCGAAATTGCTGTAGCAGCAGTAGCTGTTGTTGCTGTTCACATCGATGTAGTAATAGTTGTTGTGGTTGTTGTTGTTGTATTTACGCGACATCATCTGTCTGCACCAATTGAAAACTCCGTTTTCATTATGACTCCACGAGCCATTCGAAACATCGAACAATGATTGGTCTTCCAGATTGGAAACTTTTCTGCTATTGGTTGAGGTTTGTTGTAAACAAATCAAACTATTGGCCGACCTGCTTTTCCAGCAAAGCAAATCAAATTTTGACCTAGATATTTTATGGGATTTTTGAGCCGAGCTGTTAGTTGATACGCTGCAATGTTTTCTACAGCTGACGTCGTCCTTATAAAGACTGCTCTGGACGCTATCATTCCGAGTTTTACTTTCATTTTGGTTGCTGGCGTCGGGAACTCCATGCTGGAGTCTCGATGCCTGCAGTGGTGTTGTCGGGTCGGCACCACACGACCTACCGGCTTTCGAGTTCTTCTTATCACGTGACCACTCGGGAAAATGCGTCTTCCTATTGGCTCTCATCATGTTGACGTCATAAGAAAGACGTTCGGACATGCGTAGTCTCTTTGACACCTGCATTGGAAAGATTGATGACGCACGTTTGTGTGAAGGTGCGACTGTTGACTGCTGCAGTTAAGGGTTGACAACCTGATTCCTTCATTTATTCATTCATTCATGCATTCATTCATTTATTCATTCATGCATTCATTCATTCATTCATGCATTCATTCATTCATTCATGCATTCATTCATTCATTCACTCACTCACTTATTCATTCAACCGTTCATCCACCCATCCATTCGTACATGTATGTTCACTTTTGAATGTTAGCTTGTGGTGTGTCTTAATGTCTTCGTGTTTGCTTTTTAACAAGCAATTTGCTTGATTGCATTTGCTTAATTGATGTGAATGTTATGTATCATAATTATCTCTCTCAGGCAAGTTCACTTTAAAACTAGTTATATGTTCCAGTTTGTCTTTACCAATCCTCCCATCATCAACGGAGCATTTATACAAGGGTTAGAAGTCGCCAACCTGATAGATACGATAGTATATGAAGACCATGATGCAGAGGGGAAGGTAGAAGGCTCCGAACGTGGCGTATAGCTGGTAGCCGATTGACTGACTGACCTGACACTGACCTGGTTATAATTTGTTTGATTGATTGCCAACTACCCCATCGTTCAGTCATTCAAATTATTCAGTAAAATATTGATTGGGAAAATTAGTTGTTGTTGCTGTTGATGCTGTTGTTGTTGTTGCTGTTGTTGTTGCTGTTGTTGTTGTTGGGATTGTTGTTGTTGTTGGGATTGTTGTTGCTGGGAATGTTGTTGTTGTTATTGGGATTGTTGTTGTTGTTGTTGGGATTATTGTTGTTAGAATTGTTGTTGTTGTTGCTGCTGCTGCAGTTCAATCTATCATGCCTGATAAAATTATCTATGCGTTAAGAGGTTTTGATTTATGTGTTGAAGATTTTTTTTTTGAGTTTTAAAAGTATTTTTGAGCGTGATAAAAATATGAGGAATACTAAAAAACACTTTCTAAGAATCAAACGGAGGGAGGCTGAAGAGTTAAATGCTCCGGAATGTTCTAGAATTTTCTGGAATTCCAAAAGCACACGCGCTTCTGGCTTTTAATATTAATCCATTCACTCGTCATTGTTTGATATCTGACGCTAATTAGCCATGCTATTGTCGTAGGTGCTATAAAACTGAAGTCGATGTACCTACTACTACTAACTACTATTACTACTACTACTATTACTACTACTACTACTACTACTACTATTACTACTACTACTACTACTACTACTATTACTACTACTACTACTACTACTACTACTACTACTACTACTACTACTACTATTACTGCTACTACTCTACTATTGCTACTAATACTACTACTATTATTATTATTATTATTATTATTCATCATCATCATCCTATCACATCATCATCATCACAACTACCATCTTCATGCTCGCTTCTCCAGCCAAACAGCGGTGGAATGCTGATGATGCCAGATAAACTCCATACCATCACGGCCATCAGTAGCATCCAGGTCAGCGTCCGCTTACTGGCGTACCTAAGTCGTCGTCATCATCATCATCGTCGTCATGATTATTTAATCATCATCATCGTCGTCGTTATCATCTTCATCATCATTGTCATCATCATTGTCATCATCATCTTAATCATCATCTTCATCATCATTGTCATCATCTTCATCGTCATCATCTTCATCATCATCGTCATCATCGTCATCATCTTCATCATCATCGTCATCATCATCTTCATCATCATTGTCATCATCATCTTCATCATCATCGTAATAGTTTGTCCTCCAAAAATAATTAATTCGCCCACCTCAATGGTCTTATTATGGCCAGGTAGCGATCGATACTGATGAAGCAAAGATTCAAGATAGAAGCCGTACATAGTAAAACATCCAAACAGGTCCAAACATCGCACATCACTGGACCTAGCTGCCAACTTCCGGTCATTTCGAGCATAAGCGCTGGCGGCATGATCAGAATTGCAACCAGGAGATCTGAAATAGCGAGGCTGACAATCAGCAGGTTGGATGGGGTCTGAAGTTTTTTCACCAGTATGACGGCTAGGCATACCAAGATGTTGCCAAATATGGCGCCTATTATCATCAGCGAGCAAGCCAAAAACGGCACTATTGATTGGACGCTTGTTAGTGACGACAATGTTGATGACGACGACGATGTTGGTGTGTGTGTTTGTAGTAAAGATGAAGCTGACGATGAATTAGATGATAGTAAAGACGAAGATGATGATGATGTTATGGGGAATAAAGAGTTGATATTGGTTGTATGGTGTAATGATGGTGATGATGTTGTCGTTGCGGATAACGATGATAATGACGACGACGACAATGATGAGTCGTAGCTGATGTCGTTGTAATTATCATTTACGGTGACGTAGGAATCTTTTAAGAGTGAGTTGTTGTTGTTGTTGAAGTTGACGTTTTTGAATATACCGTTATTGTTGATGTCAGTGCTGTTGCGGTTAATGTCATTTAGTAGAATGACATTGCAAGTGATATTTTTGTTGTTGTTGCTGCTGTTGTTGTTGTTGCTGTTGTTGTTACAAGACGTATAATTAATGTCATTGTTGTTGTTATTGTAATGAAAATTGTACTTGATGTTATAAGCCATCTGTAGCTTGGAAACACTACTGTAATAGTGAAAACATTTCATTAATGATTTCGGTCACGATGACGAAGTTGATGACGATGACGTAGACGAAGACGACGACGACGATGATGAGTATGATGGTGACGATGATGTTGTGTTGTTGGTTCAGATAATATTGACAATAGTTTGATCATTTCATTGCAAAGATTGAGCTATCTATATTGTTTTGTTGTAGTAGTAGTAGTAGTAGCAGCAGCAGTAGTAGCATTAGTAGTAGCAGCAGTAGTAGCAGCAGTAGTAGCAGCAGTAGTAGTAGCAATAGTAGTTGTTGTATTATGGTAGTTTTTAGACCATGCAAATCGTTACAATTGTCTTAATTGTCGTTAGATAATCGTTCATGAAAGTTTAGTTACCATTGTTTGTTGTTGTTCTTTAATATCATTACTATGAATTGTTGTATCAGTAGTAGTAGTAGTAGTAGTAGTAGTAGTAGTAGTAGTAGTAGTAGTAGTAGTAGTAGTAGTAGTAGTAGTAGTGTAGCAGTAGTAATAGTAGTAGTTATTGTTGTACTAAGTAGCAGTAGTAGTAGTAGTAATAGCAGTAGTGGTATTTGAAGTAGTAGTACTAGTAGTATAAGTAGTAGTAGTAGTAGCAGCAGCTTTTTATTGTTATTATCATTAAAACAGCCGCAAGCAGCTGTAGTAGTAGCAGCACTAGTAGTAGTAGAAGTAGCGTCTGTAATATAACACGATAGTTAGAGTAAAATTACATTGTAGGTGGCCTGGTGCACAATACTGTGTGTGTTTTCAGTTTCACAGCCATACCTGCGTTTCTAGACTACACAGTGCAGCATGACATATAGAATTCATCCTCATCATCATCTTCATCGTCTTTATCATCATCGTCTTCGGCATCATCATCAATTAATCGCTTTATTGGTAACAGTTATAACAACAACAGCAATAACAACAACATCAACACCAGCAGAATTAACCGTAATAAAAACCACAACAACATTAACAACAACAACATTAACATCAACAACAGCAACAACAACAACAACATTAACAACAACATCAAAAACATCAACAACAACAACAACATTAACAACAACATCAAAAACATCAACAGCAGCAGCAACAACAACAACATCAACAACAGCAACAACATTAACAACCACAATATAAATACATAATACCTTCCTTATATTTCAATCATTGGATTAATATATCAAAAATTTTTATTATGCGAACATGATAAATCAGCTCTGAGCATTCAATGAAAATAAATAGCCTCATCTCTTGGGGTATAATTAAATTAATCACGTGGTCGGTCATGTGACTGAATGATGATGATGACGACGACGATGATGATGGTGGTTGTGATGATGGTGATGGTGATTAAGAAAATTAGTCCGAAAAATGGCAGAAAGTCTAGTAAGGAATTGGAATGATGGTGATTACATGCTGATGATGACGACGATGATGATTAATAATTACAACAACAACAATAATAATAATAAAAATAATTATTATTATTATGTTGATGACGATGACGCTGATGACGACAACGATTTCAAAACAAAATTGACTCTCAATTTTGCGTGACTAATGTATCGACGTCATGGCCGTCATCATCACCACCATCATTAACACCATCATCATCATCATCATCTTCGTCATCGTCATCTTGAATTATCGTGAAAGCATCTTTGATATGTTGATGTGGCTGACAAAGGCATCAAATCAACCGAAAATAAGAAAATTTTTTGATCATGATGGTGATGATAATGATGAAGATGATAATAATAATAATAATAATAATACAAATAATGATGCTGATAATATTGAAAACAAGGATGATATTCATGATAGTGATGACGACGACGACGACGATGATGATAATGACGATGATGTTGATGATGATGATAGGCTGTGAGATAAGAGAACATCAATAACATTTCTGTCAAATGCTGAAGCCAAAAATAACTGCAGTAGTAGTTGTAGTAACAATAACAGCAATAGTAATGGTAGTAGTAGTAATTGTAGTAGCTGCAGCGGTAGTAGTAGTGGTATTAGCAGCAGAAGCAGTAGTATCAGTATATTGCTTGCAGTAATTTGTTTAAAAAAGTATGAAAAGTTTTTTTTTAAAAGATCATTTTTAAACTTTTTTATTAAAATTGATAAAAATTAAATTAGGTTTTTCATTTCATTTGAATAAAACTAATGAGAAATATTTTTATTCGCATAGGGGTTGAAAAAAAATCGCGAAATTAGCATTAGCGGTAGCAGCAGCAGCAGTAGTAGTAGTAGTAGTAGTAGTAGTAGTAGTAGTAGTAGTAGTAGTAGTAGTAGTAGTAGTAGTAGCAGTAGCAGCAGAAGTAGAAGCAGAAGTAGTAGTTGTAGTAATGTTAGTAGTAAATAATGTAATGGAAATAATTTTAATAGTAGAACTACTACGCCATCCGAGCAAAAGATGCAATGCTGAATCTTCTCCTTCGAGAAAATGCTTTTTATTTTTTTCAAAACCGAAAATTTTTGTATGAAAAAATTTGCACTGCTGTCACTGTCAAGCGTTTCAGCTTAGCTACAAATAAGATTAGTATAACGATACGCCAAGACACACACACGCACATACACACACATACAACACATACACACACATACACACACAACACACACACAGACACACGCATAAGCATGAAAATTTAAATAAGTTAATGTGCGTGCGTGTATGTGTGTATGTGTTTGTGTAAATAGCAATAGCATTTTTTTTATCTGATAAGGGTTTTTCCTATTTTTCAATGCGCTAATTTTTTTGCGTAGATTAAAAAAATTGAAATCAGAAAAAAATATACAGTTTGATTATATTTTGTCGACTTTGATGCTGCTGCTGTTGTTGTTGTCGTTGATGTTGTCAACATTTTGATTGGTGTTGTTAATGTTGTTGATGTTGGCGGTGTTGTTGATGTTGACGATGTAGTCGATATTGTTGATGTTGTTGATGTTATTGATGTTTTCGACGACTACAATAACAACAACAATGACAACGACTACAACAGTAACAACGACGGCAACAACAACGCTGTCAATCTTTCAGACTTCCAAAAAATAAAACAAGAAAATTAAATTTGAACATCAAACATTCGATACATGACTTGAAAGGGTTCGCAAGAAATGCAAAATAATACAAATACAAAACATACAAAACAATACAAAACATTCGAAGTAATACAAACAAAACTTCAAAAAAATACCAAGCTGCCTTCAACAGAAATACAAAAAATTTCGATTGAATGCATAAAGTCGCATATATTAACATTATCCGATGTATGTATACGAATACACACAACATATGTGTATTTCTATGTAAATATAAATGTGTTGTACATGTTTGTGTGTGTAATTGTTTGTGTGCGTGAGTTTGTATATATAAATAAATAAGTGTACAAGTGTATGTTTGAAATTTCATTTAAGTTCGAAGCTGGTTTGTATAACTGGGTGTACGTACAATCTCATGTACAAATTTAAATGTTGCTTGCATGTGTACAAATGTGTTTATATATTGTGCATGTTTATGTGTATAATATATACATATGTATATGTATGTGTTGTATACACATGTATATAATAAACTTGTATCTTTATACATGTGTGTGTGTTGTGTAATGTGTGCGTGTGTGTGTGTGTATCAGTGTGTGTGTCATGTAATGTGTGCGTGTGTGTGTACATCAGTGTGTGTTGTGTATGTGTGTATAGAAGTATGTTTGCATATACCAATGTGTGCTTACGTGTGTAGTTGTGCTATTTTTGCGATTCATTGATTTTATAAGAAGATGCAATTGGAAAGGAAATAATGATTGGCCGCAAGCACCCCTTATGGGTTTTTTATCATATATTTCTACATTTTTTATTTGGATTTTAATCTATTTTTTGTGTTTTTTTTTGTTTTTATGACATAATATTGTTATTGTAGAAGTATTGTATTGTTGAATTTGTTCTTGCTATGATTGTATATGGCATGTTTGCCATAGATATGAATAATTTTTAGGTAGTTCTAAATATACACATGTTAATTATTTTTTATCAATTCATATTAAATTGTATGTGTCTATATAAGTCAGCTATGAAATCATAATCAAGATGAAAGTTAATTAGAAAGTTAATTAGCTGAACCACAAATATATGTGTTCGTCAATAGTTTCTCGCATTATAAGAGAAGCTTTGTTAAAACTACGCCAACAAACATGCAAAAGTAACAACAAACATACAAGCAAGCAAACAAACATACAAACAAACAAACTGACAAACATACAAACTAACACTGAAACAAGCAATTAAACAAACAAATGATGCGAAAACAAGAATCAACAACATAGAAACAACCCAACCCAACCTAACCCAACCTAGCAGAGCTCAACATAGCGTGCTACAAATTGATGGATTTAAAGAAATGCACATGCACACGCGGGATTTCCATTTCCAACGTCCTCTCAG